GCAGGAAAACTCTAGCTACACCTTTCAATAAAACTATGCCTATTTTCTATGATCGCATGGTCCCAAATATAAGCCCAAAGCTCAAACAACAGATTGTTTCTCTATTTTGTGTGCAAGTGTTTACCTCCAAGTGTGTATGTGCACTGTGTGTGTTCAATGCCCACAAAACCGGAAGAGGGCATCAGATTCCCCACACTGGCATTACATGCAGCTGCGAGCCACCTGCGGGTGCTGGGCATGGAGCCTGGGTCCCCTGGAAGGGCACCCAGTGCTCCTAACTGCTGAGCCACCTCTCCAGCCTCATGGAAGCAGCTGGGATGTGAACTTCAAAGAACGGTCTTGGCTTTCTCTGAATGGCACAGTAAATCCATAGGGTACGCTTTACACCCTGAGTGGAGCTTGTGAGTGATTTTAGTTCAGCATATACTATTTGGAAAATACTGGTTTACTGAGTCATACAGATATACTTAATTATATAATGTAAAAAAAACCAAAAAACATTTTATATCGTCAGTCTGAGAAAAGTCTAAATTCCAAGAAGCAGGAAGGCATAGTAGAAATCGTTTTCTAAAACTTTCATTTTTGCTTTGGAACCTCCAACCTCATCAGTGGTCAAAAACGCTCTCTTTCCCTTGATGAGACAGTTCGTTTGGTTCACTTTGGGGAAAAGGTCTGCTGAGTACACGTCTGAACAGCCACGCGCTGCTGGCCATTCTTCCAATTAATAATTTTGCTCCATAAAAACAGGATGACTGGTCCAGCTTGTGACGCCAACAACAAACAGCACACAGGCTTTCCCTTCGATGGTGACGGTACTTCAGTGTGTGGAGAGGTGCGTCATCCAAGTGTTCCATTGGATCACACACCACAGAGTAGGAAAAAGGAAGAGAGTCAAAAAGAAGTTTCTCTGACAAAGGCATCCTTTTCTTTTGTGGACAATATATAGCAAAAAAAAAGAGCAAAAATTCTCTAAGACAGAGTAAACGCAGGGGGCGGGAGGCACGAAAAGGTGGGAACAAAACCGATTTTCACACAGTGCATGCACACTACTGAAGGGAAACCTCAATTCTAATGTCACAGTCCAGTGTTCACTGGGGTGAGAGCACCAGCGACTTTATCAGTGACTAGTGTACGGAACGAGGAACGAGAGACAACACACCGGTCTTCCTACAGAACTAGTCTCAGCTTGACAGACCCCAGAAAGCATCTCCGAGTCCCCCACAGGCCTTCAGATGACACTTCCACAGCTGTGCCTCTGCTGCACAGCTGGGCAACCCTTCTGAGCTGTGAGTCAACAGACGGCAGACCTGAGCCTGCCGGGTTCAAATCTTAACTTACAGGCACCGGGGAGACTCGCTTCCGCCTCACTCCTGGGGATTCCGGTTTTGCTGAGCGCCCTGACGGGGAGCTGCCAGGAGACGGGCTGCGTCGGCCTTTGGGGGCTGGTGAGGCCGAGCTCACTTGGCCTTCTCCTGGAGGCTCAGCTGCCAAGTTACTCACTCCAGATCCATCTCCTTTAATAGGGATTGGTTTTACCACCTGAATCAAACAAAAATAGTTCAATGTTTTGATTACTTAAACATATACAAAGAAGTACACTTGAACATCACAGCGTGGGAAACAAATCTGAGTTATTATACAATATTAACACAACCATACCAGACAAAAGGTCACATTCTATTTGGTATTACTTTATGTCACTAATGTTGGGAGACTATCTTTACTTACACAAATATCATTATTTCGTGTTTATGCTAATTAAAGTTACTGCACAAAATTTTAGGAAAACTACTAGGTGCTATTTATTGTAATTCTAGCTCACTTAATACTCAGAATTAACACGAATCAGGAATTGAATAAAGAAAAATTAGCACTTCAAGAACTGCTCATTTGTTTTGAAAAAAAAAATGTAGGTCATAAAAGCAGTAATAATGGGAATTAATTCAAGTAGTCAAATACAACTCGATGATATTAAACTATCATTAAAAATGTTATTTTATAATAATTTTAAGATACAGATAAGCTAGGGAAGGGCCCAGAGCACTCTTGGTGGTAGAGCGATTGATTGCTCAGCACACTTGGGGCCCTCGGTTCAAATCTCAGTAGGAAGTGGGGGAAAGATTAAGGGGCTGGAAAAAGCCAGGGATGCTTCAAGCTTAAAGACCAATTCTTAAACTGGAAACATGCAATTTACATAACCTGCTGCTGCTATTGCCGAGTTTAAATATAGGCCTCTCGGGCCGAATCCCCAGTCCAGTGGAAGCCTCCTCCTATGTACAGTACAATTTCACTTGAGGGAAACTCCCCCACCTTTAACCTTCTGGTTAAAGTCCTACTGTTCATAAAACCTCTGTGACTGCAGCCTACATTCTTTCTATTTTTTTTTTTTTATTGTTTTTAATGGTGGGGGATATGTGCACATGAGTACAGGTGCCTGAGGATGACAGAGGCAGTGATCTCCCTGGAGCTGGAGTTACAGGTGGTTATGAGCCACCCAATGTGGCTGCCGGGAACCAAACTCAGTTCCCTCAAAAGAACAGTGTGTGCTCTTCACAGCTGAGCCACCTCTCCAACCTCTAAAAAGCTGCATTTATTTATTTATTTGTTTGTTTGTATGTGTGTCCATGTGGGGTCGGGGGTGTGTATACATGTGGGGTCAGGGGGTGTGTATACATGTGGGGTCGGGGGTGTGTCCATGTGGGGTCGGGGGTGTGTCCATGTGGGGTCAGAGGTGTGTATACATGTGGGGTCAGGGGTGTGTCCATGTGGGGTCGGGGGTGTGTCCATGTGGGGTCGGGGGTGTGTCCATGTGGGGTCGGGGGTGTGTCCATGTGGGGTCAGAGGTGTGTATACATGTGGGGTCGGGGGTGTGTCCATGTGGGGTCAGGGGGTGTGTCCATGTGGGGTCAGGGGTGTGTACATGAACGGGGTCAGGGGTGTGTCCATGTGGGGTTGGGGGTGTGTCCATGTGGGGTCGGGGGTGTGTCCATGTGGGGTCGGGGGTGTGTCCATGTGGGGTCAGGGGTGTGTACATGTGGGGTCAGGGGTGGCAAGGGCATGCACACTCCACAGTACCATGTAGAGGTCAGGGAATAACGTGCGTGAGTTGGTTCTCTCCTTCCACTGGGTGGATCCTGAGGACCACACGCTGACAGGCTGACCTGGAGTAAGCCTTTATCCACTAGGGCATCTTATTGGCCCCTAGTCTACATTTTTCATTTTCCTTAATTCTTGACTGTTCTTCTGCTCACTCTACACATCTGGCACCTACTCATTAAGTGCTTTGCATTATTTTACACATTATTTGACTTATTGTGTATGAGCCTTAATTTCCCATCTGGAGATATTTATTTTTTATTTACTATTTTAAGAAGGCTTGAAGCAATTTAATAAAAAAAAATAAAATTAGACCTCCCAAGTAGACAGTAAACTTCTTAAGGATAATTTGAAATCTATGAGCAATAAAATTCAGGATGGGCAATTATGTTCAAGGATTACATGTTGTATTTCTTGTTCTATACATCTCTCTTCCTTCCTGCCCTACATACACAGGCAAGATATTTAAGTATTTGCTGGAAAGTAGAAAGTGAGAAAAAAAAAATTTGTTTTAAACGATCTAACATTAGTGTGGTTGGCTTTGATATACGACACCACAGAGCAACTCCAGCTCCAGGAGCGTGGAGAGGAGCATGCTCTAACTTCAGATGGCTCTCACTGCTCAGGAGAGCTCCACAGCGACCGAGTAGAAATAAGCCCTTCTTAACTGCCACCGCTACAAGCTCAGTCCATGATTTCTCTCTCCATCTTCTACAATCAGTGAAACGGTGAAGGACCCCATGAGCAGCCTCAAGTGAAGGAAAGATGCAGACGCTTAGCTGGGCACAATGGCAGCAGAGAGATGACAGGAGAGGACAGCCAGACCTTTCCTGTGGTATTTGCATGGCAGACGGCACCTCAACAGAGGATTCAAAGCCTTGGGGCTACTGAGGAACTGTGAGCTGCAAGGCCTCCCACAGCGCTCGCTGGGCTGTGGGGTCCACACTGGTCACACAGGTGTCAAGCACCTGAAGGTGGCTAGTGTGACTGACGAGTAGATTGAAACTTTGGGGGTCAGAGAGAAGGTTCAGCGGTTACTGTTACTGGCTGCTGTCCTTCCAGAAGACCTGGGTTTTGAATCCCAGCATCCACATGGCTCACAGTCCTCTGACACTCAGTCCCAGGGGATCTGAGGCCTTCTTCCAGCCTCTGTGGGTATCAGGTGCGCACATGCTACACAGACGACATGCAGGGGAGACACTAACACACATAAGATCAAATTCAGAAGTTTACATGTTCACTTTCGTGTTTAGTTAACCTTAAACAGGCCCATGGGACGAGGATGAAGGCTAGAAGATTATGTGGGGAGGTTTTATCAGGTCCTGGCCGGAGTGGAATGAATCTTATCACTGTTATTTCTACTTCAAGAGAAAAATATAAACAAAATGCGATCAACAGACTGGCAGCGGGCACTTCCTCCTGTGTATGAATGCAGAGGCGCATTTCACAACACCATCCTCAACGGTTTTAGTGGGAAAACCACGGCACAGGATACAGTATTCTCGTCTTTCTTAACCTCGTTATTCTTTTGACAAATTCCATAAATTTCCAGCTCTTAGGTCTATTTAATCTAACTGTTTCCAGTTTTCCTGAGAGGTTTCTGGAAATAAGATTCTTGGGCCTTGTCAGAGATGAAACATCACAAATGAATTAGAATTTTGATTTGGAAAGCATGTTATAAAACTACCAAGGGTAAGACGCTGACACTGGAGGGCAGTGTTCTTGAAGCGCTCCACCACACACATTCCTACAGCAGCTGAAGTTGCTTAGGGAGCCGGGTTTGAATTCTGACCTAGTTCAGTAAATAGGAAGCGACCGCAGGGTTTCTCACTTCCTCCGTGCTCCCTTCCCAGAACAGACAGACGCCCACGGCACTCACCACAGGGCCTCTCCTGCTTCTCCTTTCCAGCCACTCGTGCTTCCAGGCAGGCATACAGGTGGCCTTCAGCTTCTCCCTGATCATTCGCTCCTCCGGGCGGTCGTCCATCTTGTGCAAGCCTTTGAGGGTTTCTTTCGTCTCCATCTCTCGACTAGAATCAAGGGAGAAATGGGACAAAGAGAAAGGTCAGATTAACAAAACACAAAACCAAACAAACAAACAAACAAACAAACAAACAAACAAACAAACCAAAAAACAGTTTCCAAGGACAAGTGAACAGTGTGGTTGTTTTATAGTCTGGTTACAGGTACCTGAAAAGACAGGTGATAAAACCCACAAAAGACTGAGGTAAGGTATGAAAACAGTGTACACGATCCTGACTGTGTTTAAGGTGGATACTGCTGAATGTTGTCTGCTACCATCAATTTTAATAGTATCCCTAAAAAATGAGGTTCTACTTAGAACCTTAGTAGGCTTACTAATAATATCAATGCAGGCTCTTTCCCAGGAGTTACCAAAATGAATCCAAAACATTAACCACTACGTTCACAAAGACTGCCCACCACACCAATATTATAATATACAAGGAAGAACTATCTTATTTGTATCTTAGTATCTTTATTCCAGAATTTCTAACTATTAGTGTCAATGCACACAGGTTTGGGGGAGGTATGCTTATTTTCTTAACAAACTAAGTAAAGGTTGAACAAACCACACAGAATCTAAACAGAACTATATCCTGAAATAACATCCCATTGCCTGAATGCTCAAGTCTGCATGTTCCTGGAGCAAGAACACAGTGATGGAGCTCTTGGTATACTTGGAAACGACCTGCCACAAACATTTTGACCTTCGTTTCATAATGACAAGTCCCCAGAATTAAGATAATCTTTGAGCTAGAAACTTTGGGGAACTAATTTAACAGTCTATTAGGTGAAGCGGCATTTTCTGGAAGACTACTAATTTCAAAACATACCCATCTCGATGTATGTACAAGCACATACCCACACTGCACAGACTTCAAAGCCTTATTCTTAGGGAAGATTAAGTACCTGCATTCTGGGAGAAGTACCAAGTTTTATAATTCTAGACTAACTTCAATAACTGTTTTTGGAAAGCCAGTAAAGCTAAAGAATAATACTTTTCTACCCTGAGAGGAAGCTCTCGTGGAAACACCAGGAATGATGACCCTGAACTTACTAAAATGTCAACTTTGAACTTGTCTAGGAATTTTCCAGTTAATCATAACTCAGAGGCAGCAGCTTCGGCGAAACAAACAACACACAAGATAAACAGGAGCAGAGCAGAAATGCTCATCTGACTCCCATGAAATGCCAACACCGTGGAGGGCTGGGAACCACACAGCCAGCACAATGTCAGGAATGGCCCTACATGTATTCAGGACGACATCTGATCTGGATCTCACAAATGGGCAGCCAGGCCACACAGCCAACATTCCTGCCACCGCAAACTGTTCCGAAGAAAGGAGGCAGGCAGGATGCACACTGCTGTACATGATGGTTCAGGTACCCAGCAGTACTTGGCAGTTGCCATGCTGATTAAGTACTGTGCTACTGTTGATGGTGACGATGCCACTCGCAGAGTAAGAGAGGAAGCCAGAAAGGCAGACAGAGGGAAAGGGGGAAGACGGGAGAGGCGGCAGGAGGTAGAACGCGGGAGCCTATTTCCCCTGAACTGAACAGCTCCCTGCCGGAAGGTGGCTCACTAAGACTTGAAGGACCTGGAAAGGAACAATCTGGGGAGCCCCGGGAAGCCCCTCAGTTTAGAAGAGTCACGGGCCCTGTCCCAGGTTACAGTAACAGCTGCTGGGGACAGAGGGCACTCCAGTCTGGCTGAGCCCCTAGCAAATCCACAAGTCTGTCAGCGTCTCTGAGGCTCACATTCTCTGAAGCAGCCGCTCTGCCTCCCCGGCTCCCCCTCCGCCCGCCCGGTCCCTGCGGGGTTGGTGCCTTTCCTCCGGGCCTCCAGGCCACCTGGCTCAGGGTTCTCCTGCATAGGATGTCTCCTGACTCCCCTGACTGCTCACTGGGTTCATTTCTACTCACGCTGGTTTTCCTCAGCTATTCGGAGGCCTGGTGAGTTAGTTCATCCTTCCACAGCCCCCCTTCCAAGTGGCCCCTCTCACCAGCTGCCAACTGTGCGGCAGTAGCTGGCACATGCTTTATTCGTCTGCACTCTGCGCATCGAAGCCCGGGAGCGCAGCGTGAGTGTGGCACGCAGAGGGCATGAACGATCATTTAACACCTTCGGCGGGCCTAAGGGATGGATGTCCTTCTAACACTGAACGACTTTTTCATATCGCTTAGTCTTTTTATCACTTTGTACTTATGATTAAATCTAGAACTCTGATGTTATTGAGAGAATTTTTCATCACTCCTAAATTAATCTATAAATATAAACGTGTTTTAGTTCTCTCAAAATATTTTTAGATAATTCTAAAATGTTCATTTTTATCCTTTATCATTTGAAGTTTGAATGGCTCCACACAATCAAAAGTTGTAATTTTATAGGTATATTTTCCTCCTTCATAGAATAGAAAATGGTGTAATTTACAAACACCGGGGACTCAGAACCAACAAAACATACAGTTCATCCCATTTTTCATGCCAGGAAGAAACCATACCTAATTGGTTTCTTTTGTCTCTGAAGTGGGAACGAGCCCGCTGGAAGGAAGACAAGCCTCTTCACATGCTTACATGGCTTCCTCACAACCCTAATACACCCTCCATCCATGGACAGACAGGGCTCCTAGCCCTGTCAGGGATGTGTGCTTACGTATACAGCAATGATCTGCCAGCCGGAATCCTACAGCTTCAGAATACAAGCTCCCTTTTTTAACCAAAGCTACTATAGTAAAAGCCTTGAAGCTTAGGAACTGCTAATGAACTTAAGCATGGCAGGCGTGTGTACGTGTGCTGGAGGTGAACCATGGCTAGAAACAGGCTTGTTTGGGCTAAAATAGCTCATATGTTTTTCACCTTTAAAGTTAAGTGATTATAGTAAAGCCAGGACACATCTGGGAAAACTACCTTGAAGACTTGAATACAAGAATAAGGTCTTAGATAAACCTAAAGAATAAACACTAACAGATGGGGGGGTTTCGTTTCCTGTTTATCTGGGGTACATGCGGCTTCCTTCCTTGTTTTCCTAAGCATTCCTCCGAAGACATTTATGCTTGACCTAGAACTTTAAAGGCCTTCCTAGGTCTGACGTTAGGTTTAGAAACCGACAGAATACAGCTGCTACACACTACGTGCTTCGAGGACCTTCCCTTCCTGTAAGAGGCCATTTTATACTATTTATTATTGTTCTATTAATGTCCGGGTCTAATCATCTTACTAACCTCATCGGGTCCATAAACTAGGCCCCCTTTCCTGGAGTGCCTTACATGCCAGGCATGACCCATTCTTACAGCATTAAGACACTTCCTTCTGAAGTACACCAACAGTTCACAGTCTGTGCAGATAGTATGCAAATATGTGTGTGTGTACGTGTGTGTGTACATACCCACTGTAATACAATATAAAACTGAGGACCTGTCTAAACTTTGGTCTGCCTCATGGCACTTGGAGACCTTCCAGGATAGGCTGCATTTTTACCATTTTCCTGTGGGTAGCACCAGTGTGTTAGGCCTGATACACCATACCTTTTTAGAAACGTGATGTTTCATTCCAGACTAGAAATACTTTGGTTTATATTTATAGACTGGTTTAAGAAAGATGAAAAGGGTCACCTCAGCTGTCACCTCTCCTGTTGTATACCAAACCCATCCTGCAGTTCATAGCTGGCTGGTCCAAATGTGCCTTGTTCAAAGACACTCTACACTAGATGGGGACTGCACACCTTGGGTCACTCTCTCTCAGAGTGTGAAAGCAGGATACACAGAAGTGTCACTGCCTAAAGAATGGCACCAAAATAAACCACGCGGAGGATGCTGCAGATGCAGAGACGGAATATAGGAGGAGACGGAACTCGGGGAGCGCACAGCCACTGAGGGACAAGTAATAAAAGTAGGCACAAGGGCTGTACTGGGTCCCCTGGCAGCTATTAGGCAATTAATGCCACCCTAATACCACCCCAAGTGACACGCTCTAACTCTCCAGGGGCCACAGGCATGTCTCCGTGAGGGAGGCATTCTCGCAGATTCTTTAACAAGCTAAGCCAAGATTCTAGTGTTATTTATTGAGAGGGGTTTTCATCTTTCTTAAATCAATCTATAAATATAAACCAAAGTATTTCTAGTCTGGAATGAAACACTCTAACACACTCTGTTCCTTGCAAAGATCCCAAAGAGCCTGACAAGGACTTCAGCTCTGCATAACAAAGACACACAAGACTCTCAAGGCTCTCCAGGATGCGCAGAATCCTACCATTTAAAAAAAGTTAAGTGGTTCATTTTTGCCTGGAACTATTACGCTAACTACTAACACGGAGAAATCCCTGACAGGCTTTGTAACAGCAGAGGACTAAATGTGGGCTGGAGCTGGCCCAGCTGCTGAGGGCTCTAGTCTGATGTTGTGAGCCAAGTCTTGGGGCACAACTCTGTAATCCCAGCACCTGGGGGGCTGAAGCAGGAAGAGTCCAAACTCCAGGCCAGCCTGGGCTACACCAATTATACTGCTCCCCCCCTCCCCACAACCATTTTACTACCAGAATTAAAGGAGTGCATTAATTCTGTTCATTATTAGAGCACATAACAGAAGTAACTAGTATTATAATATCCAAACGAAAGCTTTCTGGCTCTGGCTAGCAGAGGTAATTAGCATGGGTTAGCACTTCTTTAACAGTGTAGACCTTGGGTAGCTGTACAAAGGAGACTTTTTTTTTTTTTTTTTTTTGGTTTTTCGAGACGGGGTTTCTCTGTGTAGCTTTGCGCCTTTCCTGGAACTCACTTGGTAGCCCAGGCTGGCCTCGAACTCACAGAGATCTGCCTGCCTCTGCCTCCCGAGTGCTGGGATTAAAGGCGTGCGCCACCACCGCCCGGCTCACAAAGGAGACTCTTGATTCTCTTGGTGTCCAGAAGAGAACATTGGAAAAAGACACATACAGCTCACAGCCACTGGCAGGCCCTCACTCCAGCAGAAACTCACACATCAAATGCACATATTGCCACCAAGGAAAGAGGAGAGA